CAAGAGCTTGAGGGTGTTAATGTGGAATATTATAGGTCTTTCTACAACAAAGTATGTGAGTGCAAATCCGATTTGGAAGATGGCGGACATCATCAACATTGTGAAGACGTGGAAACATGAGAGCAACACTATTGGAGAGATACCAGGGTTTACTTTGGTGGGATCCACTTGGAATCAAAGAAGTCAACGAGCTGGAAGAGACTATGGCGGTATTGCTACTTTCATCAAATCTCAATTTCTACCTCTGATACATTTAGAAGGTCAAGATATTGGAGGTCAATATCATTGGCTTCGTCTTGGATTGGTTGGAGTATCTTATAGTTATTTGGCTGTTTGTTACTTTGCACCATTGTCCATGCATATCTACTCCACACGCACTAGCAATCTGAGTTAACCATTCCATCGACTTATAAGAGATGTTCTCAATTATCAGAGCAAAGGTGAAGTTTTTCTGGTTGGAGATTTCAATGCTCGAATACGTTGTGCACAATTTACCCAAGTTGTTGATCTCTTGAGTTCTCCCTCCTTTGAAGAACTCGAAGATAGTATGTGGTGTAGAAACTCTTCTGATATTTGTACAAATCCTTTGACAGATGACTTTCTAACCTTTGGAGCCACATGTAATTTGAAAGTTCTCAACGGTATCTCTCTTTTTCCCAACTCCCTTTCCAATACGTGTTTTTCTCCTACATGTGTTAGCATCATTGATTATCTTCTATCCTCAGCCACTCATAGCTCTCTTATTTTGAAATTTGATATTCTAGAACCTCAATCAGAGTCAGATCATGCACCTCTCTTATTTACTCTCTTGTTATCAAAAACAATACCTCTCTTTCCATGCCATTCCGTTTTAGCTTCTCCCAAGTTTCGTTTGGATCCTAGTAAGAAAGAGCCGTACATGTTACATTTTCAGAACCTTTTGACTCACACTTCATGGAGCCTTGATCCACATACATCGAGTGGGCAATTAATAGAATTGCTCAAAGACACTGCTTCTAAGTTCTTTTTGCGGCACAAGGATCGAAGAGCTAGGAGGCTTCCTTGCAATGGATGGTTTGACTTGGATTGTAAGCAAGCGAGGATGAGATCAGTTGACAAATCTTTGGATTTCCAAAGTCGGCTTATCTTGACAAGACTTTACAAAGACTTGGTGAAGTCTAAAAAACGAGCTCTTTTGAGGACGAAGCAGGAATCCTTGACAAATGAGTTGATGGAGAATCCCAAATCCTTTTGGAGACGGTTAGTTGTAAGGTTTTTGAAACCTACTCTTGATCCCAAGAGTTTGATTGACTTTGCTGGAAAGCTTTATTTCTTTCCCAATGCTGCACCAATGCCTTGTTGTGAAGGAACATCAGGCTTATTTTCTGAATAAGAGGTGATGACTCAAGTCAGAAAATTAGCAAATGGTAAATCGGAGTATTTGGATGATCTCTCTATTGAACTTTTGAAGTGGGTAGGAGATGTCATTGGACCAAGACTCACCAAAGCGTTAGAGAATGCAGCTATGTATGGTTTTCCTTCAGCTTGGTCATTACGGAAGATTGTGCCTATTCACAAGTCAGGAAGTAAGGACTTGGTGACTTGGTATCATGGTGGGTATTGTTTTTGCCAAGTTGTTTAGCAAATTGGTGGAGTCAAAGTTGAGCACATGGACTGAATCTCATCGAAAGAGAGCGCGGTTTCAAGCAGGCTTTCACCCCACATACAACACCATTGACCATATCTTGGCTTTGCGTGTTTTATGGGAGAAGTCGAAGGGCAACGGCAAAACTTTGTTTTGCGCCTTCATTGATTTTAAGAAAGCTTTTGACACCGTACCTCGTGAGCTATTATGGAAAAGGCTGCAAGTCATTGGAGTACCATCAGATCTTCTAGCAGCTGTGGCCTCGCTTTACCAATCTGTTCGAGCCAAGATCAACACTTCTTAAACTGAAGAGGTTTTGAGTACCATTGGAGTGATTCAAGGTTGTACTCTCTCTCCTACTCTATTTGAAGTTTTTATAGATGATATCGAAGAGTGGTTGGAGGCATGTGATAGTGAAGGTGTCAAGCTTGGATACTTTGTTATCAAAGCTCTGTTGTATGCAGATGATATCATATTACTAGCACGTGATGCAATTAGTTTACAGAAACACCTATACACTTTGGCTAGCTTTTGTACCCAGAATCAGATGGAGGTAAATATAGAGAAGTCCAAAGTCATGATAGTGGGCACTAGATCCAAGTTTTCCTTCTATTACCAGGATCTACAATTAGAAGAGTTGAAGAGTTATAAATATCTAGGCATTGATTTTTCTAATGATTATAGTTCGGCACTTTGTGTGCAAAAGAGAGTAGAAGGTGGTTACAAAGCTCTATATTCATTGCTAAATTGGTGTAGAAGGGCTCATCTTGTGTCTTGGAGTCTTAGGAAATTTTTATTCAAAGGCTCAGTGTTGCCGGTAGTATTGTATGGAATCCAAGTGTGGGGTCCTGGTTGTAAGAAGACAGGTTGGGAGCGTGTGGAGTGGGTGCAGAATATATTTCTACAAGAAGAATTGGGTGTGAGAAACCAAACCTCATATGCTATTATTCTTGCGGAAACATGTTGTTTACCTCTAGAGGCTGAAGCTCTATACTTGACCATCACTTACATCACAAGGGTAAGATCTCTTGATGCTTCTCGCCTTCCTCCTCAGGCTTTGAGTGCCACACGTGCCAAAGGATGGTTAGCGGATGTAATAACTTGGTCTTTGAGATGGAATGTGACGAAATGCGATTGGGACATACAACCTATAGCACTACGTGAACGTCTAGAGGATGAGTTTCTGAACATTATTTGGAGCGAGCGTGGCACCAAGATGCAGTTTTATCAACTTCATGTGAATCCTATGCTTGTTTATTGTGCACAGGATTACCTACTTGCAGGAATCTCTACGTCCTTATGTCATATTATTGCTAGGCATAGAACTGGATCTCATAGGCTTGGAATTGAGGAAGGACGTTAGCTTAACATTGATAGGAGTGAACGTATTTGTAGGCTATGTGATGGAAGAGAAGTTGAGGATGAAGAGCATGTATTTCTTACTTGTACTAGATATACAGAGATTAGAGTGACTCATAATATAGATGTAGAGAATTATTATTCTTTGTTACAGTTAGTTCCTTTTGATTTAGGTTGTTATATTAGGGACATTATTAGTTATCGTTCTAGTGCTCTTGGCACTAGTTAGGGATTGGACTTTGGGGTCTTTTTCCTTGTTTGTGGCTGTCGCTTGTATTGTGTTTTTCAGCTTTTTGACACTTTGGGTTCCCCCGGCTTGATCCAATTACCATTACCAATGAAAATAAATAAGTGATAGATTAAATAAATCTTGACTACGCCAAAGCATAGTTGTATCCTGCGCCGCTGTGTTGCAGCATGCAGCTCGTCACAACGTCATAGTTAGATTACCTCCGTTGACTTCATGTACACTAAGCTCAAGTTTCAGTGCCTAATTTATACATCCCGAAATTTAGTCATTTGAAATGAGAATTAAATTGCAAGCAAATCCCAATGTAAATAGTAAGACAGCGTTCAATGTGCTATGATACACCACATCTGAGTCTATGTGGTTTTACATCACATAAATAGATCACATAAGCAGCAGGAAATGACGGATCAATGGCATTAGGCGAGTTGAATATTTTGCAGTACAATAATGTGTCCCTTGTTAAACGGAGACTACATCAACAAGGGAAGTTATAACAGATATCTTACACAATTCGTCCACTGACCCGTAGCAATGTTATTTTGGATGAGATTCATTCGCGCATTTACATCAAAAGTTGCTGCAAATCAATGCACTGACCTGAAGAATGACCGTCTGGTCCCTGGAAAGTCCTTTGCTGTTGAATGTCCACGTCAGTTCATCGATATGCAGATCTCGTGAGGTGAATTCTGATTCTGTGCAATCAGCTCTCGACTTACATCCATCTTGCCTTATAGGATGACCTACTCAGCCATGAGAATGACATGCATTTTCTTGATCATATATCATTGGACGGTGCAGCAGCTTCGTTGGCAAAAGTCGAAGTACATAGGCTAATATTACAGTAGTTCATATTTCGCGAATCGAGTAACAGTTATGCCCATGATTTTGTGTCTGAAAACCATTTTCATGAAAAATATGATATTAATCCATAGAAAATCGCGTCAGCCTCTGCATCGACCACTGTACTCGAGATGAAGAGAACAAGTTGAAGATGGAGAACAAGGCTGGTCAGGTCATAAGTTCTGCTTTTTTATTCGTCTATTCAAAGCCAAATCCTGCCTAGTCCTCCGACTGAGAAGTCGTCTGTCTGTTGAAACCTGTTGAGGATTATGATTGCCATGATTAGTTGGATTTCGAAACCGCTGACGGAATGATGAGTGGGGCAAGCTTGCATACTATATATTTACTGCATCGTTCAGATTGCTTGAATCTCGTAGATGCAGCAATAAGATGCACGGTCTGTGCTCTTCAGATCTGATGTCTCGAGTCTTTGAGCTGTCTCGAATCTGTGATACAGAATATGATGCTTACTAGTTAATGATTAAAACAGACCCACAGGTATCAAGGAAATAAAACAAGTCGAATTGCGTGAAAATTTAACAACCTTCATGACGAAACAATTTCCTGTATCACCAATTATTACGGCTTTACGTCCTGGATGCCAACACGAGTTGTTATTGTTTGTACTCCAGATATATTTCCTTGTCAAGTAATTTCCAGCCTTCCTACTTGTGCATAAGAAACTCAGTGCATGACGGCACGTGATTGCAAGATCAGAGCTCAAGACTTGGGAATTAAGCTCTGAAGAGTGCATCATAATACAAATGATCGGTGAAGCTGCACGACTGGAGCATATGTACATTCATCATCATGCAGAAAAATCATATTATAAAAAATGCATTAATCACCACTCGTTGTAGTTTTCTTGTCCAGCTATAAAATCTTGGAGTCGCCATGTGTTCATCACCTTCATCTCGGCTCAACGGTCTGAGAGCGAGTTCCAGTCAATAGATTAGAATCATTCTCATTCAGGTGAAAAAAAAATGGCTTTCACCAGCCTTAACATTCATCTTCTTCCAGTTTTTGTTTTCCTATTGTCCACCGTTGGAGTGGATGCTGGAGCTGCATATCTCAGCAACGGTTTACAAAATGACTACTATCGTCATTCATGCCCAACTGCCGAGTCAGTGGTGAGGAGAGTGGTGCGTGCGAATGTCAGTGATCCCAGCAATCCCAACAATTTGAGGTTTGCTGCGGGCCTCGTACGTATGTCATTTCACGATTGTTTCGTCGAGGTGAGTAAACCAGCCTCGAAACCAGCATCAGATTGCGGTTGCATGCCATCTGCATCTAGTATGCATCTGCAGCCTTGCATTGTTAACTCTATCATCGGTCGCAAGAAAGGCAGTTCACTGCAAGTTTAATAGTTCGAGAAGCTAATTGGGTCGGATGGACATTGAGACTTGTTTTCCATAACAGCTACTTTAAGCTCGAGTGTGCGTGTGTGCGTGCGTCATTTGGCAGGGCTGCGACGCATCGGTTCTTCTGAATGGTCTTGGCACAGAGAAGACTGCACGCATCAATAAGTTTCTCCAAAGTTCCGAGATCATTGATAAAGCCAAACAAGAGCTGGAGAAGGTCAGCCCTGGCGTGGTGTCGTGCGCCGACATCTTGCAGTATGCGGCTCGCGACAGCGTCGTCGCCGTAAGAGCATACTTTTTCTGCCTTCGATTTAGGAGCAGCTATATTGGACTCAAACTTGGCTAGTATGGATGCGTTGGTAATCAAATTGTGGAATTTGGAATGTCTTAAATTGATTTTTTTCGTGTTTTTACATTTTTATCATCTTACTCGAAATTTACTGCGGAATTTCATAAGTTTTCAGACGTCCCTACGGTATATCTGCCTGAAATTTAGAAATGCATCTCATTTGGCAAATGCATGGTAGAGTGATGGGAGGCTCAGCATAAGATCTCACTGTCAACCATATTCCACGTAATTATAAACATTTTACTCTTAAATAAAAACCGTCTTCATTTCAAACATTTTAAAGACGGCTTAAATGTGTCCATATATATTTTTGATAAAAAACAGACGCATCCATATTGGCTAGCTTCAATTCCATGGGCTCAAATTTTAGCATAATGCGATGAATGTGACATCTAACCCGAGGGTCTCTGTACAGGAATTGCCTTTCGCTCTGGACCTCAAAGACACTTCAGAACTTATTTCAGATGTTTGCAAATGGATCTTGCAGCTTAACGGCTCAAGCTGGAAGGTGCAAGGAGGACGTAGAGATGGCTGTGTGTCAAGGGCTGATTCCGCGGATTCGGAAATCCCTTCACCAGATCTGGACTTAGATGGATTGACGGCGTCTTTCAATAGAAAAGGACTTTCGAGGGATCAGATGGTCATTCTTTCAGGTACAAGCACTTCGATCGTTCTATTCAGCTGCTTCAGGAGATGTTTTTACTTACAAGCAAGGACCTACATTACGCTTGTAGGTTTGTGTCATGAGACTCATAGACGATGTTGTCTGTGTTTCTCACAGGAGCACATACTTCAGCAGCCGGCCATTGCGAAAACCTCGTTACACGACTTTACAATTTCAACTCGACTCATGCCACTGATCCGTCAATCCCTGCTGCTTATGCGGCCCAGCTGAAGTCCCTCTGTCCACAAAGGACCTTTAACGACAGTGTCTTTATCGTATTGGATACGGTCTCACCATTCTTCGACGCCGGATATTATGTGACTCTCGAACAACACCAGGGATTATTCACTTCGGATCAAATTTTGTTCGATGATCCACGCACTCGGCCTCTGGTGGAATCTCTGACGGACAACAAGCTGTTTGAGAAAGATTTTGGCGAAGCTATGCGCGCTATGGCTGCAGTTGAGGTCAAACTATACGAAGGAGAAATTCGAAACGACTGTCGCATGATCAATCCGTACTGACCCAGTCTTGCTGATTACGATCCCTTTGTAGAATCGACTTCAGAGCCCAAATGCAAAACCAGGACATAGCAACGAGGATTGTGATAACATGTGATAGAAAAAATATTTTAATTTTATTCTGTTTCATACCTATTGACGAAGGCTGGAGAATGTGATATATAGGTACTGCTGTCCTATGTATGGCATGTACATACATCAGTGTATGATATAATACATCATATCCCGTTTTCCGTCATAACTTGTATCAACTACGCGCTCGACTCTTGGTCCACATGAATCGAGAAATATATCGAGATAGTTGCTTCTTACAGAACGACCTTGTGAAACTGATTATCCATCTTCAAGTTCATCAAACGCCCTGCAGGTAAAATTGGTGAATATTGCAAGATCGCAGCAATCTGCAACCTCACTCTTGTTGATACTCTGCCACGTTAAGTACTCCCCCGTTTCAGATGAAGTATTTCACCTTTGTATTAATACAGCATGTACAAAATTGATGTTGCATTGAAGATATAAAAGCGCAAACAACTTTGATTCTCTATTCATAGACCAGATTTTGGTATTGGTTCTCAAAACTTAAAAAAGTCGTGAACCTTTAACAAAGTTCATTTGATGAGCTGGTCTCTCAACTTTCGGGTGAAGGAAATCACGTCAGTAGTTCAACATATGAAGAGATATATACAATACAATACAATACAATAAACTCCCGATGGAGTTGAGTTGAAATATATTTAATAAGTTTGACAAGTCTATCATAAAGTTTTCAAGCTACTTCACGGATATGTAGTTCTTCAGAAGGCAATAATTCGAAATTGGATGTTCTTTGTGATCTGATGGTTATTGAAAAGTAAGGATGAAGAGAACCGGATGAAAAATCAGCCCTTCACTTTTACAAATAAAGTCAACAGGGAAATATTCAGCCAAAGTGAATGGATGCGAGATATTAAACTATATGAGGTAGATCAAGATATGGGGGATATGGATCAAGAATGCTGAATAATCCAGAGAGCCTTTAGACTATCTAACACTGGGATTGTGAGAAGATTGGGCTGAACAAAAATCAGTGCAAATCAGTGATCAAAAATTAAAATTGGCTTACAAAAAAATTAAGACTCAAAGGGGATGGTTGGTGTTACGTCCAACTCACAAGATAATGATGAGGAAGAGGAATATAAAGTCTCGTTTGTTAGATTCTGGACCATCACATTATCTCTAAAGAAAGTATTTTTCAAAAACTGTGTTCTTGGAAAGCTTCGGTGATAATCAACCTTGTGATATTACTGGTCAAGGATTAGTGAATATCAAGTTGAACGGATCTGTTTGGAAGCTAAAGGATATCAAGTGAATGCTGGAGCTGACAATGAACTTGATCTTAGTAAGGCGGTTGCCTACCACGACTAACTTTCATGTGATGACAGGAGCATGCAGGTTTATTACAGTTACGGGGCTCCCGAGACTTGGCCATATGAGGAAATAGAGTTGGAAATTATGGACTGTATAATAAACCTTGTAGCACTGCAATCAGTTGAAATAGGCATGTGCAGATATTCCATCCATAATAGCAAAGGAAAACAGTCAATGTTCATACAAGTTGTCGTATCTTCATGGAAAAATCTAGTTGTTTTTACTCTTGTGTTTGAGAACCAAATATATCTTTATTTAGTTTTGGGAGAGGCTATTTTGTGACTTTGATGAATGACCAGTCGTGGAAGTTATAAGGTCAATCTCCAAAGCATAAATTAATATAGTACCGTGTTTTCGAATTGAAAGTTATTTTTGTAAGTTAATACTTTTTAATTCATGATAAAATAAAACTAATTTTAATTAAATAAATGAATAATATTTAAAATTAGTTAATTTTTTTTGAATTTTTATTGTTGATACATAATAATCTTTGTAATTTTAAGGAACAAAATTAAATATAATAATTAAAAAAACCCATGATAACAATTTGTGTTTTTGTTACATTATTCAATATATCATTTATTGACAATAAATGAAATATATGATGAATAACAGATGTTATTATTATATACATGTTAGAAACAAATAAGTAAAATCATTTCGAGTATTTTTTTATCTCCTGTCTTGAATTTATTCTCTTATGTTATTCTCTAAATTCGATTTTTTATCATTGATTTTCCATGTCACATACAATTTATCTGAATCGCTGATTTTGTATTTTCAATAATATTCTTTGTTCACATACGTGCTTGAATTAATAAATTTATCGAGACTAAAATGTACAGCAATTTAGCCTGAAAACTTTGTTTTGCTTGAAAAAAAATTATTTCCGATAATATAAGTGAGAATTGCCCATGATGTGGATTATAAGTATGGTCTTCCATAGGTTAGGGTACAATTAATAAACTATAACACCGTTAGTAAGAGCAATCATGAATTGTATATTCCACGATTGTTATCAAAACAGTGTTTGCAAATGAAGCAACGGTTACCGTACCGCTTTTGCTGCTTCTACTGCAATTTTTCTTCACAGTCCGAGCATGCGCTTTTGTAGATTGACAAGATCAACTGAAAGGCTTCGAGGTCCGAATCCGGAGAGAGTATGGATTCGAGTTCCTGAGTATCTCTTGGTTCTTTTGACGGTTCAGGAGAGAATTCCAGGGCAATAAATACCCTGGATCCTGCTCGATGCGAGGGCGCAATCTAAGGAGACACCGTGCGACCGCCCGTCAGTGTTGAGTCCAGTTCAGGAGCAGATTCGAGTGCACTTTCACATGAATCCTAACGGTCAAGAAAATAGCTGCAACATCTTTTACTGTTGGAGTTACGTTCCTTATTATAGATTGTGTAAATTTCGATCGTGATGTAGTTTACAACCGCATCTAAGCACTGTTCTCCTACTCTTAGTTGATTGTTGTTGCTCATCAATGTAGGCGTGGAAAGAAGATCAAAGCGATGGTACAGCCTCCAACAATGTGACATACTCACATGCGCACACATTTAGAGTTCAAATGAACATGAGAATATTGGAAACCAGATGAACTACAGAGTTCTCTGAAGTTCGGTACACAGAGGTAGTCATCTAGTAAGATTGGAATTAGAAACAGTAAATTTTTTCCGTTTGCACTTTGAACATATGATCGATTACTCGTGGACTCTCAACATTGTGAAGCTGAGTTGCGAAACTCAGTTTCACAATGGTCCTCAACTGAAGGAAGCAACAATTGGAATTTTCGTTCCACTGACATGCTTCGCCAAACACACTGGATAAGCAGAATCTGCTTTCTGCTTATCTAGATTAATCTACTCGTCTCTAAAAGAACTTGACAATAACATCCAGATCAGTTCCTAGCAGACTTTCAACTATTGGTCACGGCTTATTTGAACTAAGTGTGGCCTTCAACCTTGAAGCCAAGGCAAGGCTGGAGATGTCAATCACTTCAAGCAATAGCATTGTCCAATCACCACTTGACTGTGACGGCCACCTTCATGCCTGCTTTACAGTGCGTGCCGACTCCGCAGATGATGTAGTAAGTTCCGGACTTCGTGAACTTAATGTAGTCTTTTCCGGATGCATGCTTGGCCCAGGGAGATGTGGTCTTGCAGCTGTCGTAGTCGGCCTTGCTCACAACCATAGCGTTGTGGAGCCTGGGGTCATACTTGAAGACTGTAACAAAATCCCACTGCAAAATTAGCACAAGGTGTTCCAACTTCGTCTGCTCCGGCAGGCATCGAGTCGATCGATTCCACATCCAAAAATCCCGTCAAACTGAAAATTATCGTAACGATAGACTTGACGTAATAGGCAATCAACTCACAACAATACCATACTTCTTAGCTTCATGTGATCTATGCAGAACATTTACCGCCAGATGGACACGTCTGCACGACTTACACAATGAATCATAAGGCCTGACTTTCGCTGTTGAAGCCCAGGTTTTGTAGTTGTAACCCAGCGTCCAACCACTGCTTCCTCCAACATTGACGGTTGCTGCTAAGGCGCAGTCTACCAAGACTAGAAGGACCAAGGCCGCAGCCAAGGTACTTGCACTGTTTCTTCCCTGGCTTCTTGAAGTTCCCATCTTAGAGAAGAAGCTGAATCAAACCGAATTGAAAAGTACGTGAGCTGAGAATGAGTAGAGAATGAATGTCTGATGAGTTTGGTCGTATTGGGGTTGGAGGATATAAGTACTACTGCGGAAGTGGCAACTGGTTTGCAAGCACGAACGGAACTGGGCAGATGACAACAAAGTACAGAACAGGAACCTCCAGATCCATGACCGCCGCCGGGGCAGGCAGAGCAACCATGTACATCGTGAATTGTTCAGGAGGGGGGCACATTCTGTGTGTTGTTGCAAACAAAAATCTCCAAGTTGAAGAGGAAACAGTACGAGTGTGCTTGGGCCTCACTTGATGGTCACGCATGAGCAACGTAGCGAGGAAACCATTCAAGTCCTTCCTACTCAGAGCTCGATGTTGATTCACTATCTTTGCCGACAATGCAGGTAACAACGTGGGGAGGGGAGGGGACGGGACGGGACGGGGAAGGGTTTAGCGGTCACTACGGTACCGGCATAGAGTTTGTAGCCATTGATGCCTTTGGATTTCCTGCCGAGATTCCAGTTTAGCTGCTACAATCTGCTTGGATCGTGGAGAAATTTTTGCTCAGATTAGGCCCTTCGTGCGCTGATCACTGTTCCACACCTTTGCCATGTACGTGGGTCGTTCATGTCACAATCTACAGAAATTTCTAAGTTTTGAATCAAACACACATCGCTACATGCAACTTCTCGGCTTCATTCTTCGTCTGACCGTGTTCTCCCACCGAATGAGAACAGGACATTCACAAACATGGCTACTTTAGTTGCCCTATATCCGGATCTCACAGAGATAACAGACGAACATCCCAGAGTCTCAGATCTAGAACGAGATAGATAGTGAATAAATGTGCTGAGAAGTCCAGAGAATGTTCGAGGAATCACGAAACAAAAACAGAGCAGCAGTTGCAGAAACCGAGATAGACCCGAATGAACGAGAGAGAGGGTTGAAACAGGGTCTTCCTCCTCTCACATTCTTTGAACTTTTCGAAGTAATTAGGATTTCATTTCGTAGAGATAAAGGTTTGTAATGGTTGAGAAATTTTGTTGTAAGTAGCGATCCCATTGAGTCGACGTTGTTTGTGTCGGTGAACGATGCTGTCCCTGCCACGAGCTTGGTGAGAGGGTGAAGTTTTCAACCTGGCTTGAGATCTGTCCGGCTTTTCCAGAGTAATTTCAGCAAGGAAACCCGGCAGAAGGAGCGAGAGAGATTGACTGATGAGCTGAATCGGCGCTGCTGTAGTTGACTTCAAATCTTTGAGGAAGAGTGGAAAGGTAGTTCTTGCTGGTCAGAATGTCGTACCCGTCCTCGGCCGCTGTCCAATTTCCTACATTGAATGCATTGAATGTTCAAGGAGAGTTTGTTCTGACCCTTTTGAGAGCTGAAACGACGTCAAGCAGCACGGTCAAGGCGAGAGAATCCAAGCACGCAACTTTGGTCTCCCTGACCTTCTGAGCCAGTGCTCAAGGCGTGATTGATTCAAGGACTCATTCAGTCAAATCAAAGTGTCGAACTTGTTCAGACGGCATGAATGGAGTGGTGGTTTTGGTCTCTTCCACCATCCAGGAGTAATTCCAGCAATGCGATCCCCTGTCTTGACATCTGAGTTTCAACCACCACGGACGATGTTGTACGTCTTTGGTGGTATCTCATTGTTGTAAAGAGGTGGCGATTCCCAGCGCACTCGCCGGGTATGTGTTTCTCCTAGACAAGACAGGTCGGATGAGATGGCACGCTGATGGATTTGCATCTTCTGAAGAGCTTTCATCCATGTTGTTGTCGTAGACGATACGGTTCCTCGAAGAACATCGACGAAAGTATCACGAGGTTAATAAACTCTGTGTTTGTGCGATTTGTTCGGCAAGAATGATGATTGAACGCAGCCTTCATTTGATCTCCCCACTACGCAAGATTTCTCTCTTCCTCTACAGAGAAGGAAGAATTGAAGAGACTTTCTCCTGAGGCACTTGCAACTAAATGAGGCAGGTCGAACACACACTCAAGCCCCCACCAGATTTGGGACACCATTTGAGTTTGTTCTTCGATCAGTGAGTGTCACATTAGAGGCGATTTTGAATGCTGCAATGGCATCAACGACGTATCTTCCATCGCTTTGGTATTGTGTGCCGTTCGACCTTGGCCTCGCAATGGAGAAGTCCAACCTCCTCGAAATGGAAAGAAAGAAACCAAAAGGAATACAAGCAGGATGGAAACAGGAAGCTGATGCAGCTTGAAAGTTGCGAGCAGACACGTATCAGGCTACATGTTTTCTTGGAGACCTGCAATGCTGCTGCGTGGCAGGGCTTGCTTCCTTCAACGAGGGCAGTCAAGGAGTTGGGGTGGGGGGCGTTTAACTGGTTGGTAGTTGAACTGCAGTATCCGGATCGAAAACTACAGATCGAAGAGTGGCTGATTCGGATGAGTTAGTTGTTGCACAGTGGTGTACGCATAAATAGTGACTATATCCTGTTTGCTCATTGTACGTGTCTTGGGTCGCTGTTCCTAATGCTCTGCTTTGTCGTTCCACGCAACTTTCGGGCCCGCTTTTCCTGACTTAAGGGACTAATATTGCTGCTGCACTCTCGCCTTTTCATCACTTTCCGTCAGACCTTCCCATTCCTGCTGTCTTGAGTTCATTTATCGGTAAAGGAAGATCTGGTGAAGTTTAGGATGCTCCTTCTCGTCTTGCTCACTTGTTCTGTGATTTGAGATGGATGCCAAATCGGCAAAGTCGACAACAAGTTCTGATTAGATTCCATTCGTATACACGGCCATGGCACCGAATTTTCGCATTCATCGTTTCCGTAAAAGTTAAAGAAGTTAGTGGTGCCAGGGGAGCCAGATGTTCGCCATTAAGTTGGTCGCTCGGTCATGCCTCGTATCTCTGAGTTGAAGCCACACTCCTGCACGGAGTTGAAGCATCTTTCTGTCACGTGAGCAACTTTTGCCCTGACGTCTCGTGGCAATTCAGATGTAAGCTCTCTTCTTGTCCGGCATACTGTATCCGGGCCTTATCTACTAAGACTGTCGACAAGGTCGCTGTGGATCATGTTGCAATCATGTTCCACCTGATGAAAGATGGGACCGGGGGACTTGTGAAGAGCTGCACTAACTCTGATGCATAGATTCATCGGCCTCGTGACTCATTTATTGCACCAAATGCTAAACTTACTGCAGTCAGAAGTAGATGCTTGGTGTGTCATTGGGAAAATCCCACATTTCCTTGTCCATCCTCGACTTGGATGGACAAGAAAATGTGGGATTTTCCCAAGGAAGATTACATGATTACATGCACATGCTGCGAACTGGTTTCTAACGGCGACCTGCGTGCCATGTCTCATACATCTCTGTCAGCAAGATGATGATACAAGCTGCGTGTTCCATTGTTGTACATTGGAACAGGCTTTCACCAGCGTCGATTTTATTGGTTTATCTTGTCTACCTCCAGTCAATGATATTGTTCGGACACCTTCGCCTCCTGATGAAATGACTTTTCTGCAGGACGCGATCTCTCATTAACTGATTATTGAGAGTCTAGAAATAGCTCTCACTGTCAATGGAGGTGGATTCGCTGACAATGAAGACTTATGATCAATCCTGAACACGGTTCTGCTGACAAACAGCTCTGAAGATTCATTCTTGTTCACACCTAGGTTGGTTGTATTTCAGTGCAGTGGACGTAATTCCTACCGGTGCTACTCAATTTGATTTGGACTTCTAGTGTAGGACTTGTCAACTATCACTCAAGACTCGGCTGGATCTGAATCTCCTACTGTCGCTTGCGAGTCTATCCAAGCAATTAGCAAACGCCTGGGCGCTGCGTTTGGTTCTGGCTCGAGAAGCAGCACAACAACTGCGCTCTTGAAACTTCTGTCTGCTCGGACTTTCTAGACATCCGATGAAATTCGCTTCAAGGTGTGTTCATCATGCAAAACTAATCCTATTACGAAAATCAGAGTGCACGGAGTTGAACACTCAAGGACAAACGCAACGCGTTGTCCTTCAGCAGCCTTCGTGCTTGCACCAAAACTGCTAAAACAGCTCCAGAGAGTTGGTTGTTGCCAGATCTGACACCTAGACATAGACATGCCTCATAGACACCTACACTAGGGGCTTGTGGTTTTGCACAACAAAGCAAAAGCCTTTTCACCAACAACGTCAACGTCATCAATACTTTACGAGATGACGGAGTAATTTAAGCAGCGCCCAATTTGACCAGGGAATGTACGATGCGTCTATATTAAAGGGGACCTAAAAGTTTGTCCAACACAAAATGTGGGGGTCAAACACCGGATAAGTCTCCCGTGCCAGCGTGAACAAAATGGCTCGAAGGACCCCAGCAACCCAAGCTCGCGACCGCTATATTGGAGCCCTTGAGCAAATGAACACGGCTTCAAAATCCTGAAACTTGAGTCAGCGTGGGAAGCTGGAATATGCACAGAGCGGGCAGACAAGGACAACGGAACTGTAGCAAATACCAGATAGTACAGTAATTCGAAAGCCATTGCTCAATCATTATTCTTGACTCCCTGATGTAATAAACCGAAAGTGTAGTCTACCAGACTCTCAGCTACTCTTATCTATGCGTTTTCAGTCGACGTCTCCCCCAAAGCTGTGAGGCAGCTGCTGAATAGAGTTGGAGTCACAACCTCAAAGGGCATGCCCCGGGGTGAGGGCACGGGGCCGCATTCGCATTTTCCATACGAGGCATGCCTGAGTGTATAAACAAATTTATATATACAAGCATTACGTATAAAAAAATTATTTGTGTACTGTAGAGTTACAAACTTATATTTTAGAGAAATAGACTGTGGGATAAGTGAGTAAATAAAACTGTTTTCACTTGGAGATTCTGCTCTAGTCTTTTCTGCGTTTTAAGCTTTCAAAGATCCTACTTAGTACTTTATTTCCATAGAAGTATATTTTCTGATACGGTAAAATGTACGTAGTGTAATACGGGCATACCTGGCGGCATGGGGCATGACTTTTGATCTTGAAAGGGGGCATAGGCATGCCCCGAGAAATTTTGTTGTGCCTCCAATTCAGCAGTGCTGAAGCCTGCGCTAACTAGCATGGGAGCAGGCTTTCAGGACTATGGACGTTCTCTCACGTACGCTCTGACGAGACAAAACCTCGGACGAGACTCCACTCGCTCCATGCTCCATCCCATCCCACTTGGAGCTTTCTCACCAAGAACACTCGAGCAATAAGTGAACAGCTGGGCCGACGTTTGGCTCTCCAGCATCCGGTACCTAGTGTCAACTTGCGAATTATTTTCAAGCTTCGCCTGAAAAATTAATATGAAGAGCAGTAGAAAATAATCTTTTATAGTATTGTTTACAAGCTTGGCCATGTCATGCATTGGATCTACCGCCCTTCAGGTATTTGCTCCAGCGCTCCATTTCGGACACGGCTTACAGTGTTGCTCGTCCAGTGAATCTGCCACTTATCCATCGAGACGTAGCCTAGGCAAAAGATCATGGGCACTGGCGTTGTGCGCATCCCTCCAGTCACAAGCTCCGAGGCTCCGAGCTCGAGTCGCACTTCCCCAATCCCCATCAGGTCTGTACAACAGACGCGATGGGCCTACAGGCGTCGTCCAGTCTGAGCCGATCGACATCGAGCTACTTTTGTGGAGATAGACGGTTCCGATGACTCGTCCCACCTACAAGTTCATGAACGCTGCACCCTAAGAATCGGCCTCTAGTTTTCAACAGTTTTCATTTGTCCACGCGCTTCGGCGGGTGGGCTGGCTGGCAGACCTTTCGTAAATCCACAATCAAGGCTTCGCTTTTCATTTCCAGGACAGTCCTGCGTTTTCGTACAGCTTTAAAGGAATTTGGCATTATCTCCATAATCACGTTCCTGCATGGTTTCATCCAGGACCAGCCCGGACAGCAGAAGATTCATGCGGAAAGATTGTCCATCTGATGCTAGCGCAGGTCTGTCAGGACCCCTTGTCTCAGAGGGCCAGCTAAGTGTGAGTTAGGCCTGGCTCTGACGCCCTTCAAACCTTCCCCCACACCTTTCTGATATTTTTGTATGTTTTAGTGCATTTCGGGCCCCTGACACAAGAAATGCCTTTTGTACAAAATTCCAAATGCGTCTCTCTGCCCTGAGCCTGGACGCATGTCCACCTCGCAAGACGATGTATCAGTGGAACGGAACTCTGTTTTCGCGTGGATGGAGACAGAGGACCCTAGAGAGAGACCACGGCCTCGCTCGTCAGGACCCACCAGCCGAACTGGAACCGTGGACTGTGATTCATCACAACAGAATCTTTCCGTGACAGCAGACTGACAACAGGATCGTTCCTTCCAACAAGCCTCGTACATGGTACCTCGGAAAGTGGAAACCACGGCTGAAACTGATCTCATCTAGCTCAGTCCTGAAAGTTGCTTGACAGCGCTCGTGCACCTCCAGAGACAACAAGAAGAGGCTGCTAAATTTGTCTGAGTCGCAAGTGAACAGTCGAGCCACGACTTCACGCACACACGACAAATTGATACAATCTGATACTGCTACTGTACAAAATAAGTATTAGTGAGCTCTTTATTGCGTGATCAGAAGAGAATTGTGTAACTTCTTGGATCTAAACACTATATACACGCTGAAATGAATCTACGTTTGATGTGTCCGACTGCCATTTCTGGGATTTTGACGTTACGTGCCCTCTGTCTGGACTTTTTCTGAGCTTCTGATGCCACACCGCCGGCAAACTAAATTAACCCGGACAAAAACCGGACATATTTCGGACAAGGGTCGGTCAAGACCTTTCTTCGTGGTCAAGAACATGTCAAAGCATTGACAGGCAGCCGGTCCGCGGCGCAAGAAGACACAGTGAAAAACTGCCACGCTTGACTGACATGAGCCCTACACGGGGCTCAGCCAAATATTCTTCTGCAATGAATGATCCTAATGTCTGGGGGAGATCGATTATGTACATGCACAAAACCTTCTGTCAGATCTCAAGGGAGGCTTGATTGTCGTGGATGATGGCTATTCTGTCTATTCCTCGGGAGAAATGCTGGTTGTGGTGGCGTTGTTGTTCCTCCTGAAACTGTGGAATTTCCTGTAGAAGTAAGCTCGAGCCAGAGGAACGTATGTCTCGTTTATCCTGATTAGGACGTAGAAAATAACTCTGTAGCCGACGGCCATGAGGAACAGGACCGAGAGGTTCCACCACTTGCTTCGGGACACTGTAATTTGATAGTGATCGACCAAAATTTCTTCTCCCGTGATTCGAGGCAGAGAGGGGTTGGTGTTAGCGAATGTCAGCCCAGTGAAATCATTTTCGTACATCCCCTGCAGCGCATACATGTGGAATCCGAAGTACATCATCGGATACCTCCAGAAATACTTTGGCAAATCGTTGGGGAGTCGGAAGAAGCCCGACACCAGGAGGAAAATGCCCTGCGGTGACAGCAGACACATGCCAAGAGTTAGAGCTTTGCATTCCGAGGATGTCGAGACCGGAGACAGAAGTAGCGAGCAAAGACCCGAAGCCAGTTGCGGAGAGCCCGGGTCAAGTTGGTACCTGGATTCCAGCCCCGGTGATGATGCCCATGAGAAAGTTGGGAACGAGGCTAGCCACCGCCATCATCAAACTCTCCACGACGACGAGGCAGGCGAATAGGGCCAGCAGGAAGTAAATCACATGAGTGATGCCAGGGTGAAGGCCGACCAGGAAGTAAACGATCATCGTCGACGCAACGGAAATAAGAAATAAGAACGGCAGAGAAGACAGAGTGTTGCCGATGGCGAAGGCCGCCACGCCGTAATGCCCATTCATTCTCTCTCTACCGAACACCTTCATGTCCTCAACAAACGAAGGAAATCCTCCAATTGACATGAATGTCAGAAACCCCGCCACGTACGATATGCACGCCGCTCTTGCCTGCACACACCAAACATGTCCTGACTCTGAGGCGTGCTCCACATACAATGAGTTCCAGAAGCGAAAATCAGACAGACAATCGATCAGACAGGCTGCTAGTGGGCATTCGGTCTCAGCTTTGTCCTTACCATGATGGAAGTGTAGTTTTTGCCGACTTTATAGTAGATTGTTCCGATACAGATAGATAGCATTATGTACATCACCAGTCTCAGCCAGTAATATCCCCAATCCCGTCTCATATTGACGACAGATCTCTTTGTCAGCACCCAACATTGTGTCAAGAAGGCAGCATCGCTTCCTCTAGAGGCCAACACTCGGCCGCCCTGAGAAAATTCAAGAGCACTTCGCACAGTTAATTCCAAAGCTCATGAATGCCAGACGAGTGATAGGTTTAGTGCAAATCAATGCTCGCCGCTTTTCATGTGTCACACCAGCTGCCAGACAGGGCAGAGGACGTACCTCATTTTTCAGCTCTTCAATTCGCATGCTTACAGCGCGCTTCTCGTCGGACGTTTCGAACAAGTGCACCAGGATCTTGACCTGCTCAGCAGTTGTCATCTTCGCCATGGGATTGCTGAAGCTCGAATAACTATTCTCGATGTCCTGCCGCTGGCTACCTCCGCCTTGGAGAATCGTGTGCACATTATCAAAGTCCGAGTTGATAGTGCGCAAGTAATGATCGGACGGGTTCCTCATCGTCGGGCAGGGGAAGCCAGCGTTTGCGAAGAACTGTTGGCGGGACATCATCGACCACATGAGTGCTAAATAAATACGCACCCCTTTCTCTCAGCAATACCGTACAAAGTCCAGGCTCTGAAACAACTCAAGCTTCCCAATTGAAAACCATCCAAGATCTCACTTGTGAAGGAGCGAATGTACCGTACCTCCTGAGCACCAGCCAAGGGCCCGAAGAACACCTGCTTGCCCCCGGAGAGCAGACAAAGTGCGTCGAAGAGCTCGAAGACATCACTGCTGGGCTGATGAATTGAGCAAACGACCGTACGTCTCTCTTTGGTGAGATTCTTCAGTGTCTGGACAACGTGGTAGGCCGAAGCACTGCGTGTTGATGACGAAAGGCATTCAAGTCAGAAATGTCGACTCATGGCGGGTCAAATGCATGGGAACTCATCAAAGACGCACGAGGAACGGAGCGCGAGCGAGCGAAAAGAGGCTGATGCACTGACTGACCTGTCCAGCCCGGATGTGGGCTCGTCGAGGAAGAGCAAACGAGGGCGTTTCAGCAGCTCAATGGCGATGCTCACACGCCTCTTCTCCCCACCGCTCAGGCCCCTTTTGTGCCAGTTGCCAATGATGGTGTGCAGACAATCCAAAAGACCGACGTCTGTTGCGGCCGCTTTGATAAGATCTTTTCTCTCTTGCTCTTCGATCGATTTGTGGAACCTCAGCTGCGCAGAATAGTGCAGGATCTCTAGCACCGTCAAAGTTCCCAGAAGAACGTCGTCTTGTGCGACGTACGCCTGCAACAGAAACACAGAAGCGCACACACAAACATCAACCACTCGCTCAGACAAACAGTAAAACTTGAACTTTCTGCAGAAGAATATCCCGTCAAATGATGCGACCGCCATCGAACCAAAATCAAGACAAATGCGAGAACGTCGTGGCATTCATGCAGAAATTGAGGCACTGACCGCTGTACCGAACGAGAGCTGCTCCTTGCGGCCGTTCAGCATGATCTCTCCTTCATACTGAGCCTGCTTCGTGAGACGACCAGCGAGAGTGTCCAACAATGTGGACTTTCCGGAACCAGAAGGGCCCATAATGGCCACAAGCTTCTGGTCATCGGCATAACCTGAGACTCCTTGGAGCACGGTCTGATTGCCGTTCACCACGACTTTCAGATCCTTCCACGTAAGATTTGCGCAGATTTTATCTTTAGTGTCCAGACTGATGCGCTTGTGTATGTTCACGCTCAGCGGACTCAACCCATGCATGGAGGTCGTAAAGCGCTCCCCGAGTTCCGGCATGGTGTCAAGGTTCACGTCCCTGAAAAACTTCTCGCAGAATCGCTTCGGCGCTGCTAGTTTCGAATGTTTGTCTCGTCCTGCACTGCACTGCCCTCACTGACCGCCCAGTCAGTCGACTGACTGACGACGAGCTATCTAGCACGCACAGAGCCGCGCTGTGTGAGCTTCGACGATATATCGGACAGTGACGAGACGTGGGAACGCAATTTATTCTCGGAGATCAGCGGCGATTACGTACAGGTCCGAATTATGGATTCTCACAGCGAGGGAGGTCGATGCTAGTGACGAAGATTGGAAGAGTGTGCACGAAATGTGTCAGCTACACGAGAAGTACGACGAGTGCGGCACGAGGCCCAGAGGTCCGGATAGGAATGAAGAGACTGCGAGAGAGAAGCAATGTCACGGGTTCCCGTTCGAGTAAAATGCTGCAGGCTGCAGAGATGCAGGCAGGCGGGCAGGCAGGGGGAGATGATGGGAAACCATGGGGAGAAAGAAGGCCACAGAGCTTTTAGAGCCTGCGAGTGCTGCGAGTGCTGGAGGCGACAAGCGGTCGCAGGACCGCTGGACACAGATGCCAAATCTCCTTGCGAGCCTGCCAGCGAGCCAGCGAGCCCGCCAGCACCCAAAGGTATCAACTGCCGCTCCCATCCCGCGGGGGGACTGCGCCCTTCTCCCGGTTCGTCGCGCAGCTCAAACGCAGTTTAGTAAGGTCGGCGACGGTGCGCCCAGCGAACGACGAAGCTCCTGCCGAACGTCAGCTACCACGGTAACCGGAAAGGAGGAACTAGCTTTATTCTCGTTCATTTCCAGCGCAATTTTCTTCCCTGAGAATTGACGTGTCGCCTCATATACTGATGTCGGGGCATTCCAAATTGGATCAAGAACAAAAACTTCCGGTGTGGTGGAGCTACCATAAAAATGAACTCCCTGATAATAGATCCATATAATATTTTTCGGGTATTTCCAGTAAAAACAGTTTTCCTTCGTAATATTCTAGAAGTTCCGTATACTTTAAACTATGCGGAACGGTGCGGCCTGGGCGAGAACGAAGCTTCCCGCCCGGACCGCACCGAGAACGAAGCTTCTGCTGAACGTCAGCTACTAAGGTAACGGAAGCGGAAGAACTGAGTTCATTTTTGTTCATCTCAAGCGCAAATATCTCTCTTCGCAATTGTCGTCCAAATACGTTGAGGTTATAAAAATCCAAGAAAATTTCTAAGATACAGCATTCTTACATCATTAGCTGGTCACCGTAAAAATAAAATCCCCGATAATACGTGGATCCGCATAAAATTGAACAGGATTATCTAATATCGCAAACGGTTTTATTCAGAGATTTCTAAAATTTTATGAAATCAGATTCAAATGCGAAGATTGAGACTTTTTCCCATTTTAGGATTGTAGGTTTAACCACAACGTAAGTTTTCAAACCCATAAATATTGCTCCCACCGAAGCTTTGAGAATTCAATGGTCTTCTCAGTCTTAGACTGTCATGTCTCATGTGTATCATATTCAAATGACACAATACAGGTTGAATCTGGGCCTTACATGGCTTTACTGAAAATTAGGGTGGGCTGATTAATGGCAAAAAAAGGGCTCGTTTGTACACTAGTACCGTAAGACCTCCTTGTGCGCATGTGTCAGAACTCTAATGTGTTTGGGACGCAGGATCAACTTTTTATTCGGTGACCGGCCTTGGCGTCTAGAAAACTATGTCGGTAAGGAATTACTGCAATGATGTGACGAACAATTTTGACAGTGCATCAGTTTGAAGTATTGTAAATGACGGATGCTCGAGCGATGCAACTTGGAGTGAATCGAGGAGAATATCGCCAGTCTTGTCACGATTATCGATCACAACCTGCAAAGAAAAACTGATTATTGCTAGATATGCTTCATTCATGCAGGTACATTGATACACTAAGGTACCTTGATAGATCGTGCAACTTTGCAAGAAAAAATTCTTCAGATTTGACAGATGAAAGTCTGAGGACTTTTTATAGAATGTACAATCCTTTACAATTATACGCTGGAACATACAAATTTCATAAACCATCATGCCTTTAATTCCACGGATACCTGGTAAGAAAGGACCGCTTGGCTACAACTAGGTGTTTGGCACGTTTGGAATGAGACTGATTTGTGGATGCTTGGTACACCACTGCTTGTTTTCAACAACGAAATTAATGACATATATAGAAGAGCAGGTCCGAAAGCCACATGAGCGCTACACTGTCTGCCAGGTTTGCTTTTAATGGAGTTCCAAAACTTGTGGGTTTAATTAATGAAACATTGTCATGTCTTTCTTAGAAACCTCGTATTGCTAATCGCTTCTTATCGTCCATAACAAAAAGTATTCATGAAATCCACAAGTAGTTTGTGTTGACATATGTAGAATGATTTACTGAAACATGGTGAGGTGCTTCCCATACATAAAGGGGTACTTCCCATAGACTCTTGTACCAAGAGATGGAAAGGAAAAGACTACAATGTTTGACTCGGGACAATACTGGCTCGTTGAATGTGAACATATTACACACAAAGAATCGTAACTTGATGCAAGTCCAACTCCATAGGTGCAGAATCTTGTGACAAAGAAAACTTCAACAAATTTGTGGTTCACATTCGAGTTACTGAAGAGCATAACATTCTTGTGTTAAATGATTGGACGTCGTTACTTGACAACTTTACTCCAATCTTGCATGACATCAATCGAATGATCTTTTTTTAGGTTAAATCGTATGTTCAGAAATCTTCTATAACTTGAAGCATTGACATGTTTTGTAAGCAATAAGCGAGTAGAAGTCTTTCTATTTCTATAGGTATTTGAATAAGATTAGTAATTTTGGCTGCACCCATATGTGCAATTTTGAGCCGACTAGATGAATTTATTGGACATTGGCTAAAGACCAGATAACTACATATGGTTATTTGGTCCCATCAAGTAAATACCTCCCATATCTGTTACATCACTATGTGTAATCGGTATCTTAAAAATATCTTAAACAACGATAAATATCTTATTTTATGCTCATGTAATTTTTTTAAAGTAAAAAATAGTTCTTTTTCAAGTAAGGTCCATAAATCAGGCTCGATAAATATTAGAAAACAGTGTAGAACTTTAACACGTTCAAATACATTGAATATGATTAAATATAGAATGTTATGTATATTGACACACATACTTCATAGATTTTGTTAATATGGATTTCAAAAATCGATACATTGTGTATGATAAATTATTGTGAATGTCATGTAAGGTTTTCCAAATTCTTCAATTAAGGTGAATGGAATGAGATTGGTTGACAGTTTCATGCGCTAAGCAGTTGTCAGCATAGTAATTGAACTATAAGGTTTAAAGTATCATTTTGTATTCAAAAGTCTGCATAGTAATAACATAGAAAAGTTTCGACTCCCTCCATTATATATTGACTCTGTCGGAAACATGGAACTCCGGTGTCCTACCAATATAAGTGGCAAGTGTGGAGGATGGAGTATCGTACAATGTCCACCATTAAGATATATCTGCATGGCGACTTGTCGCCCTCCAAATATTGTGTACCCTCATAATTTAGGCGGGCGACGTGCCCTGCGCGGGCTTAAAACTAATATAAAGTGGTACAAATTCCGAGAAGAACATATAATTACAAAACGATTACTGCGAAATGCTACATTCGTTTCTGGAGGCTCTACAGATTCACATGACAGATTCTTTTACATGACATGTCAGTCTCAAACTGCACCGCCCTGAAAGGACATACCATTCAATAATTCCAATAACAAATCGTGCTACAGGAGCTCGGCAGGAAACCATAAACATAGTTACTCTGGCTTCTAAGGTGTCAGATTGCGGACAGCATGTATACATCTTTCATGCAATGAATTATTCAGTGAAATACACGTGATTTAAATATGGAGTGCAAATTATGTATACGAAAATAGAATTAGTCTCAAGTATAACCCCCACTCTTTCTTAAATAATTTTCTTCAAGCATGTACTAGCCTAACTCTTCGTTATGCAAGAACTGATTTGACAATAAAAATCAGAGTCTCTTAAGGACATTAGTTCTTGAAACATGGAAAGATAACAATAAATGAACAACATTTAGCTCATGAAGGCTGAGCATTGAACCTTGCTCAGCTGCAGAACCCAACACATCTGCAAGTAATGTAACTCTCATATGACTTTTAAATGTCAAATCTCTACATTTCTAGTTTTCATGATAGTGCCAAAAACTTGTGTGTTTATTTCATCATTGAAAATTAGAGAGCTTTAGAAACTTATCATTACTCTATGAAAATTATTTTTCTAAGCTCTGATATATTTAATAAATTTTCTTCTAAACTAATGGAAATATTATTCAAAAGCACCGTGATTCAAAAATTGTGTCAAACTAAAGAGCTGGTTTTTTTGAAGAAAAAATAATTCGTATGGAAATATAAAAATGAAGTCAGGGAAAACGATTGCCTCGATTTAGAGAAAATCGAGATAAATTTTTTATTAGAATAATTTTTTATGAGCTTAAAAAAATTAGTGGAACTTTTTTACAAACATTTACTCATATAAGCATAACGGGCGTCATTGTAAAAATCTATTGAGTTATTTACAGTGCATCCAAATGATTTCGTTTTGTTAAACTTATATATGGAAGTTTTGAGAAAATAATTACAGAAGTTTGATTCTAGAAAGTATATAACTTTATTCCAAAGCGAACAAAACAGACTGCATGTCCAAAGTATTATAATTTTTTGCATCTAGGCACACATATATGTCATAAGTATTAAAAAAATCAAGAATCTTTTTTTATTTCATTTAATGATAGTATTTCATTGAATTATACAAATTATGTTTTAGTTTGGAGAATCTTCTGTAGAAGGTTTTTAAAGGCATATATTAAGATGCACTTAAGGAAAGTGCGGTTCTTATGATAGTGGTCAATGAAGAGAAAAGAATCTCATCTAAAGGAAGTCAACGACAATGGTCTTCTGTCGAGGGACCAAATTAGATGGAAATAGAATGTTAGCTGTTCTGCACCCTATGCTTGCAGGTGTTGACACATGTTTCAAGGTCCCCCCCCCCCCGTCCTGAAGGCGTCTGTACAGCACTTCGTTCAATACTGCAACGAATATACAAACCCTAAACCCGAACGGGCACTACACCACACTCATGTCGAAGGATTGAATCCGGATGGAACATCTACAGCTGTTGTACCGAAGGTGCGGGTCTATCGACTGGGTCTCATATCGAGTAGGTTCGATCGGATCGAACGTGAGTTTGCGTGTGCAATGTGCATCTGCTTTGTCATCCTCACACAAAGGTGTAGTAACGCTTCGACATCCTAAAGAGTACAAAGATTGAGCAATATCCCTCTCGCAAGACCCGCCCACTCCCCATGCTTGATAAGTCAGCGTTAAGCCACAGCTGTCTTAAGGGCTTAAAGGCTCACATGTTAATTGCCAGCATCCATAAATCACGGCGTTCCTCCTCTTTACGATGTTTTAAAATTT